GTTCGCTGTTTCGCTCCTGTTCCACGCTCCCGCTGCTGCGCAGTGCGATGACAAGACAAGCTCTGGGGTGCGGGCTTGATCTGGGAAGCCTAGGCTTAAGTCGGGCGTCCCCCTACAGGGAGATCTTGGGCGAAAAATCGAACATACTCCGCAAAACACACCCAGGATGCTCAAAAATGGTCAGAACATGCTCCCCAGACTACTTTTGGACTGTTTTTGAATATTCCCCCTGTAGAAGGACAGGCCCGATTTGAGCCTAGGCTGAGCCCTGACCCTGCCCCCGATCAGGCCCTGGCGGGCGGGGCCCGCGCCGCCGCACAGAACAGCTGCTGCACGGCCTGCCGCCGATCGGCCTGCAGCAGGCTGCGGCGGTGGGGCCCCCGCAGGAGGTCGTCGGCGGGGCTCGCGCCGTCCCCGCCGCCGAGGAGCGCCTGGTAGGCGGCGGTCCTGGTCCTCACGGGAGGGGCAACGATACAGAGGCCTCCTCCTCCTCCTCCTCGCCTCCTCCTCCTCCTCCTCCTCCTCCTCCTCCTCCTCCTCCGCCTCCTCATCCTCCTCCTCCTCCTCCTCCCTCCTCCTCCTCGCTCCTCCTCCTCCTCCTCCGCATCCGCCTCCGCCTCCTCCTCCTCCTCCTCCTCCTCCTCCTCCTCTCCTCCTCCTCCTCCTCCTCCTCCTCCTCCTCCTCCTCCTGGTAGGCGGCGGTCCTGCTCCTCACGGGAGGGGCAACGATACTGAAGGGGCCCTGGGACACACAAATAAATAGACACAAATAACAGGATTCCTCGTATTTGCCCAGATGTTCTGGGTGTTTGTCTTCCCCCCCCACTTCCCATGTTTTCCCACATTTTCTGGGGAGTCGCCGATTAATTGTGTCTGTGTGTGTTTCTTTCTCTCCTGAGATACAGAGGCCTCCCAGATGAGGTCGGAGGATCGCGCCACATCGCCAGTGCATCGGCGATGCATCGTGCATCGGCGATGCATCGGCGAGACATCGGCGATGCATCGGCGATGCATCGGCGACATCGGCGTGGGGAAATCGGGCTGCATATCGAGCCGCATCGGCGATGCATCGGCGATGCGGCGCGATCCTCCGACCCCATCTACTCCGACCCCATCTAGGAAGCCTAGACGATAGGGGGGGCTGGCATAGGGGGACAACGACCAGGTTCGAGTCGAGGTTGGAAGTTCGGGTCGACGCTTTCGGACCTTTTCGTTGGTTTTCGGCTGCTTTCCAGCCTCGGGGTGTCTTCGAACGGCTGTGTCTCGCCGCGTGCGTTCTGGGGCCTCCCAGACCGTCCCGAACGGCCGCCGGGGGCCCGAGCTATGACCCGCAAACAACGAGGGGACCAGCTCAGGGAGGGGAAGCATCGGCCTGGCATCGGCGATACATCGCCGATAAATCGGCGACAGGTCCCCCGATAGTGAGGCCGCACGTTCCTGGGCGGGGGTGGGATGTCGGGCCCCTATCGGCGACGATTGGACGATGAGGGGTCGATGCATCCCCCCGAGCCCGTGCCCGTCCCCAGCGGTTTACGGGCCAGGACCCCGAGGCTGGAAAGCCGCCGAAAGCCAACGAAAACGTCCGAAAGCGTCGACCTGGACCTCGAGCATCGACTCGAACCATATCGTTGCCTCCTACTGGCCGATCCACCAGGGCCCCAATCATGACAATAAGCGTCGCCGCCACCACCGCGGCCGTCATCGTCGTCGTCGTCGTCGCCGTCCGCCGCTGCCGCCATTGTCGTCGTCGCCATCGCCGCCGCCGCCCTCGTCGTCGTCCTCGTCGTCCTTGTCGTCGTCGTCGTCATCACTGTCGTCGCCATCGTCGCCGTCACCATCGTCGCAGTGGTTGAAGCTGCCATTGCATGAGCGGCGTGAATGATAGCCGTAGGTAGCAGCTGCACTTGTAGTGGTACCAACAGCACCAGCAGCAGCAGCAGGAGGAGGAGCCCAGCGTAGAGAGGAGGAGGAGGAGGAGGAGGAGGAGGAGGAGGAGGAGGAGCAGGAGGAGGAGAAGGAACAGGAGGACCCGTGGCATCCTCCTCGACTGGAGATCCACTTTGTTGAGCGCGCCGGCGATCTTGACGGCCGCCTGCCGGCCGGACAGAGGGGGGCGGAGGGCGGGCGGGCGGGCCGTACCGCTCGGGCCGCGCGACCCCGGGCAGGCTCGCGTCGTGAGGACTCGCGGCGGGAGGCTCTGAGCCGTCGTCGGCTGCCGGGGGGGGGCCTCGCCAGGCCCCAGGGCCGGGCAAAAAAGAGCTTCGGGATGAAAGAAGAGCCGAATCTCGGGAAAGGGTGCAGACCTCCAAGGGCCCCGCTCTTTCTTTTTATTGTTTGCTTTTGTTGTGTATATATATGTGTAAGTTTAAGATGAAGACAAAAACAACAACAAAAACACACACAAAATAACAAAACAACAAAAAAAAAAAAAAAAAAAAAAAAACAACAACAAAAAAAAAACGATACGTCGGATGTCTGGGGTGGGCACCTGCTGGGTGCGCATGCGCACGGCACGCGTGCCCAGGGAGAAACTTCCAGGGAGTTTGCGGAATTCGTGCGTTTCACGGGGGATTGCAGGGGTCGCCCCCCTCCCCCAGTAGCAGGGGAGAGAAGGGTGGAGAGGAGGAAGAAGAGGAGAAAGAAGAGGAGCGCCAGCAACTACGGCCGCCGCGGGGCGCTGGAGAGATCAGTAGCATTTGATGTGTAGAGGCCTCCCAGAGGGGGTCGGAGTGCAGATGGGGTCGGAGGATCGCGCCGCGTCGCCGATACATCGGCGATGCATCGGCGATGCATCGGTGATGCACCGGCAACGCGAGAAATCGAGCGCCGCATCGAGCCGCATCGGCGATGCATCGGCGATGCATCGGCGATGCATCGGCGATGCGGCGCGATCCTCCGACCCCATCCACTCCGACCCCATCTAAGAGCCCTTGAATGCACCGCGCCGAACGCAACGGCCACGCTATCCATAGACGCATCCACCCCGAAAGTGTTCTATGGACATCACGACACCCACATGTGACCATAGAAGCTCTTGGCAGGGACGTGAGAACGGTGTCTGGCATCGACCCCAGACGTCGATCTTCCAGAAGCAGGTAGACTTGGCCCTCAATGTTTTCCCAGATGTTGATCTCCTAGAAGCAGGTAGGCTTGGCCCTCAATTCTTTTTCCCAGTGAGAGTAGCGCAGAGCGAACTCCCACCCAGCCACCGTTGCCCGAATGGAAAGCACTGCGCGTGCCGCCCGGAAGGACAATACAGGCAGCTGGAAACATGATGTCTCGTCGTCGTCCTCCTCCTCCTCCTCCTCCACATCCTCCTCCTCTCCTCTCGCCTCCTCCTCCTCCTCCTCCTCCTCCTCCTCCTCCTCCTCCTCCTCCTCCTCCTACTCCTCATCCGCCTGCTCCTCATCCTTCCTCGTCCCTCGTCCCCCCCTCTCCCAACTCCTCTTCCTCCTCCTCTTTCTCCCCCTCCTCCTTCTCCTCCTTCTCCTCCTCCTCCTGATCCTCTTCCTTTTCCTCCTCCTCCTCCTCCTCCTCCTCCTCCTCCTCCTCCTCCTCCTCCTCCTGCTCCTCCTCCTCCTCTTCCTCCTCCTAACTGTGCCGATGCCGCTCGAAACTGGTTTTAAAGGGCTGCGTAAGCTCAGGGGACGCACGGTGCGCCACTAGAGTTCGCAGAACTCGAAGAGCACCCCTGAGAAGCCACCATCACCAGTGAACGACCGGGCGACAGTGGCAGTGTAGCTTCGCATGCGATTGCGACCCGACACGCTTCGCTGACAGGCCATCATGCATCAGAGCGTCGGGGACACCCTCTCGCCCTGAGGCAGGCCAGGCATGGCCCTCCCAAAGGAGGTCGACACCTGCCACCAGTCACAGCGAGAGGTGCTAAATGGGGCACGCTGGCAATCCCTTTCAGCAGCTCGACCAGTAGAAGGGCAGGGTGGGGATAAGCCTACGAAGGCTGTGTGTGTGGGGGGGGGAGCCGTCCCCTGCCTCTTGATCAAAGACTGCGTGGGGGCAGCCTGCCCCATTCCGAACGCATGTTGTTGCCACCCCAACCAGACCTAGCACCCAAATGTGGGTCCCCATTGCCCCACCCCCAGAGGTCTGCGAAGGGATGTGCCTTCCCCCTTCTGCATCGGCTGATGGTAAGATTTCCCCAGTGTGTCGTTGCTCAGCATGCAATGCATTGGCATGACCTCCGCCTTGGGCAGAGCACTACGTCACCGTCAGGGCCCCAAGGTGCAGCAACATTCGCCCCCCATTTGGGGGACAAGCCGGTCTGTTGTGACTCTCAGGGACTCCAACTCCCCCTAAGGGGTCTTTCCTTCAAGGGCAGAGAGGGGTTGGAGTCTGAACGTGGGCTGGGCCGAATGTCATTTCCCAGCCATGCCAGAGGGGATTAGAGAAGGGTTGGAGTCTGAGCGCGGGCTGGGGCGAATGCCATGCCCCAGCCACGCCAGAGGGGGTTAGAGAAGGGTTGGAGTCCGAGCGTGAGCTGGGGCGAATGCCATGGCAAAGCCACGCTGAGGGGGTAGAGAAGGGTTGGAGACCGAGCGTGGGCTGGGGCGAATTTCATTCCCCAGCCACGCCGGAAGGGGGTTAGAGAAGGGTATGAGTCCGAGCATGTGCTGGGGCGAATACCACTCCCCAGCCACGCCAGGGGGGTAGAGATAGGTTGGAGATCAGATCAACCACGTCGTGTAAACAGTTGCAGGGGTCAGAGGCCCAGACCCATTTGAAGAACGAGCTGGGAGCAGGTCCCCCGTGTCACCCCCAAGGTTGGAAGGTCCCTGTCACACCTACTGTTGCGTATCGGACCACGCCGTGGCCAGGAGGGGGAAGTTTGCGAGGGGCCAGGTGTGCAGGGCAGCCTTGAGGCTACTTGCTTTACTGCACAGTTCTAGGGCGCACCTCAGTAACATCAACAAGCGCACTCACAGTCGCGCGGAGGACCCGCGCCTTGGGCGATGATGGTTGTGGGGGGGCCCCATGGGAAGGAATTCCAATTGAGGCATCTCGGCAATAGGGCACGCAGAGGTCGTACTTCACAGTCGAGGGGAGGTCCTGCGCCGTGGAGGGGTTTGGTTGCGGGGGGTCCTATGAGAGCACGACGTGGCTGCTCAATCCAAGGCCCAAACACCCAAGGAAGTGCTACCAGTGACCATCCCTCAAGATGGGCCTGCCTGGGCGGTCACCCTGGAGGGTCAAGAACTACGATTGAAGAATGTCGTCCGTGTTTACAAGGGTACCCCCAGCACGAGGTGGCTGCTCAGTCAAAGGCCCAAACCACCTCAAGAAGTGCTACGGCTGACCACCCGCCAGAGGCCCCACCTGGGCGGTCACCAGAGAGGGGCAGCATTCACAGGGCGTTGCAATTGTGCTTCGCGGAGTTCATTTCATTGGGTATGAGTCTGCCAGATGAGGAATCGAAAGGACAACGTAGCGGCCGTGAGGAGGGGATACCAGTGCAGGCAAAAAAAAAAAACCTACGCGAGCGACTACGCCCGACAACGTGCCCGAAAGGTCCGCGCGGGTGGCTCTTTCGCTCCGACCACACCTCGGAACGCGCAGAGGCGAGCGCGAGGCCGGCGAGCGGCGCGCCGCGCCCCTGCCCGCCCCGCCCCGCCCCCATTGTGCAGAGCTGGATGCGGGCGCGGCCTGCGCCGCCCGTCCCGCGAGCCAGCTCTGCGCAGTGGAGGGGGAGAGGGAGGGGTCAGGCAGGGGCAAATCCACGGTTGACGGCTCTGCCCTCCTAGTCTCAGTCGTTTGCTCACGCGCCCCGGTAGGGGGCCTGGCTGGCCGAGTGAGCGAGGCTGCACTTGCGGCGCTCGTCGTGTAGGGAGGAAGAGCATGCCCCGTCGGCGGCATGGCGGGCCTCCGAGGGAGGAGCCCGGCGGCCGGCCCCCAAAGAGGTTGGGCAGTTTTCAGATGCAGTAGGCATTTCCATACGTCCATGGGACGGACCTCCTTACCGTCTTAGTCGCGGCAGGGCCCATTCAAGAATTCTATGTGTATATTTATATAGATATACATATATACATATATATATATATATGCTTCACAAGTCGTGGGGCGGCCCTGGGGCAGGCAGTTTAGCTTGCTTCACAGTCGAGGGGCTGCCCTTTTTGGGCGGTCGACTGCGCTGAACCCAGAGGCCTCTCGGCAAAGGGGAGGCCACGGCGCACTCGGGACGAATGGTGCTTCACGGTCGTGGGGCACGTCTTGGGCCATATCGGGGGCGGCTTTCTGATCCTCCAAGGGTTAAGTCGGGCCTGTCCCCCCACAGGCCGATGTTGGACGAAAAATTAGGAATACCCCAAGAATATCCTAGAGATGCTCAAAAATGCCAAAATTGAATCGTCCCCGTAATATGTTTTGACTACTTTTGAAGATTCCCCCTGCAGAGGGACAGGCCGACTTATCCGGGTGACCCTCGGAGAGGAGAGGGAGGAGGGAGGAGGAGGGGAGGCGAGGAGGAGGAGAGGAAGGAGGAGGAAGGAGGAGGAGGACGAGGAGGGGAGGAGGGAGGAGAGGAGGAGGAGGAGGAGGAGGAGGGAGGAGGGGGGAGGGGGGAGGAGGAGGAGGAGGAGGAGGAGGGCAGACGCCCCATCAAGGCTGAGCTGTTTCTCGGCGAGGGCCGTGCCCCCCCGTCGTGGGGCGGCCCCCCGCGGGGGGGGCTTTCCAGGCAGCAGGTATTTTGCAGCGAGGCCCTGCGATTCGCGCAACTGAAGAGGCCCAGGGACACACAGATAAATACACACAGAAAACAGGATTCCCCATATTTTCCCATATCTTCTGGGTTTTCGTCTTCCCCCCCACTTCCCATAAATTCCCAGATTTTCTGGGGAATCGACGGTTCTTTGTGTCTGTGTGGTTTTTTCCCTCCTGGGCAATGCCTCTCGCCAGATGGGGCAGCCACAGCGCCGTGCGGAACCAGAACCACCCGCCTGTGGACCCCCCCCCTCCCCCCCGAGGCCATTTGAAAAAAAAACGGAACCAATGCAGAGGGTGGAAAAACAAGTCAACCGTCCCCAATCGCTATCGCTGCGTGGAGGGTCGGAGTCGTCGAGAGAAGGTCGGCTGAATATA